CCGCTCTTGCTGCTGCACCTGCAGCACTTCAACTGTCTTTTCTATTATCTTTTCAACGGGTTTTTTTATTATCTTTTCCTGTCAAGTAAACAAATATATATAAATAAATATATATATATATATATATATTTATATTTATATCTTTGCTCAAAGTAATAGACAGAAGAGACAGGTAATAAAAGGAGACACATAATCAAAGGAGACAGTAAATAGAGACAGAGACAAATAGAAAGAAGAGACAGATAAAAGGAGACAGCAAATAAAAGGAGACAGCAAATAAAAGGAGACAGCAAATAAAAGGAGACAGCAAACAAAAGGAGACAGCAAATAAAAGGAGACAGCAAATAAAAGGAGACAGCAAACAAAAGGAGACAGCAGATAAAAGGAGACAGCAAATAAAAGGAGACAGCAGATAAAAGGAGACAGTTAATTGACCTGAAGTATGAATTTGGGCACTTGGACAATTTTTTCTTTTTTGACGATGTGCGGCACTTCTACGATTTTCTCCTTGAAGTATATTTGAGGGACTTCTGTCTCCTTCTCTATAACTTCAATGCGGGGGATCTCTACGACCTTCTCCTGCGGTGTACATGCACCTCAGACAAGCACTAGTCAACTGTGCACACTAACTAGCAGCAACAGCTGCTGCTGCTGCTGCTGCTGCTGCACCTGCTGCTGTTGTTGTTGTTGTTATACCAGCATCGGCAGCAGCGATAGAAGTCGCAACAGCAGCAACAGAAGCAGCAGCGGAAGCCGCAATAGCAGTACTAGAAGCAACAGCAGCAGCAAAAGCGGCAGCAGCAGCAAGAACAGCAGCAGCAGCAGCAGCAGCAGATTTTCGTCAGCCTTACAACTATGCGCGGCTCGCAAAGAAATTCGGTGGGCAAACAATCATCTCCTTCAGAATCCTGCTGCTGCTGCAACATCTGCTGCTGCTGCTGCTGCAGCATCTGCTGCTGCTGCAGCAGCAACATCTGCTGCTGCTGCTCCTGCAACATCTGCTGCTGCTGCTCCTGCAACATCTGCTGCTGCTGCTCTTGCAACATCTGCTGCTGCTGCTCCTGCAACATCTGCTGCTGCTGCTGCTGGTCCGAGAGACTGCTGCTGCTGGCAGCACAGTTGCTAAAGAGGGAATGAAGCTGCAGCGAGTCTCGGCAAAGGGCCTCATTAGCTGCATTCGAGACCCCTAGGGACTGCTGCTGCTGCTGCTGCTGCTGCTGCTCCAAGGTATGCTGCTCTGGTGTCTCCCCACCAAGGCTGGGCAGATCTGACAGCGGGATGTCTCCGTACACCTGTTCGTACTGCTGCTGCTGCTGCTGCTGCTGCCCTCTTGACTCGTATGCTTCGTGCTGCAGCGGGCTTATCTCCCTTATATTCTGAACGAGGTGCTGCTGCTGCTGCTGCTGGTGCTGCAGGTGCAACAGTTGCTGCTGCTGCTGCAGCTGGAGCTGTTGCTGCTGCAGCGTCGTCCACTGTGTGCCGTAATGTGGTTGTTGCTGCAGCTTGTATTGACTTGGCGAGGCAGCAGCAGCAGTAGCAGCAGCAGCAGCAGCAGCAGGAGTAGCAGCAGCTCTGCCATCATCGAAGTCTGCTGGAGGAGAGGGGGAGAAGCAGCAGCTGTAGGGTGCTCTTGTGCTGCTGCCTCCTGTGTCTCCTGTAATTGCTGGTCCGAGCCGCTGCTGCTGCTGCTGCATGTATTCAGCAGCAACACCCATGTAAGACTTAGCCCCCCCTGCAAGCATACTTCCGTGTGTGCTGCTGCTGCTGCTGCTGTAGGCCAGAGGCTTTGACAGGGGAGAGGGGGCCCAAGAGGTAGGGGCGAAGGCATTGGGCACAGAGACGATACCCTCCATCCTTTCTGCTGTTCTGCTGCTGCGGCTGCTGCTGCTGCTGTTGCTGCTGCTGTTGCCGCAGCTGCTGCAGATGGATCTGCTGTTGCTGCTGATGCTGTGCTTGGGTCTAGCGCTGCTGATAATGCCCCTCCTGCTGCTGCTGCTGCTGCTGGTCCTGATGCTGCAGCCGCTGCCGACCACCGCGGCTGCTGCAGCAGCTGTTGCTGCTGCTGCTGCTGCTGCTTGTTTCCGTCCTTCTTTGTTCTATGAGTGAAGAAAAAACTCAGAAATTGTGGGCATAGAACCCTTAAAAGGTTTAAATAATTCCCTGGAGGCGGAGTAGACTGCTGCTGCTGCTGCTGCTGCTGCTGCTGCAAGAGGCTGCTCCTGGGGCGGGCCAGGGTCAGCTCAGCAGGGGTTTGAAGTGTCTGTGTGCTTTGTCTGTGTTAAAAAGAAGCAAAATAAACAATTAAATTATTTATTTCAATGAAAAAATCAAAGAAAAACAAATAAAAATGAACAGCTGTTGCTGCAGCAGCAGCGCCGACCGGACTGTACAGACAGCTGGGGGCGAGTTAAAAGGAAGTAGAAAGCGAATATAAATAATTTTATTTATTTATTAATTAAAAACAAACAAACTGCATTTATTTTTCATTGAATTATTCATCAAAGACAGAAGCAGAGCAGCCAGCAGCAGACAAACAATTTGCTGGTTTACCTACCGAAGGCTCTGCTGCCCTCTCGTCGGCATTGCTGCTGCTGCTGCTGCTGCTGCTGCTGCTGCTGCTGTTGCTGCAGTCTACTCTCCATACAGAAGCACGACGTGGTGAAGCGGTGAATTTTGAGGGTTTCTCTTAGATATTATAATTTATTGAACAGTACATAATATATATAATATATATTATATATTATTGTGTATAATATGTAAAAGATATATTATTTTTAAGGGCTTGAGGTGTCTCCGTGCAAAGTCGAGGCAGCAAAGACAGCAGCGAAATAAAAGAGACAAAGAAAAGAAAAGAGAAGGAGACAATCTGCAATTAATATTTCGGGTTTAAACAGCACACAGACACCACAACAATCAAGGGGGAAGCCAGCTACCCTCCTCTACTGTCTCTTTATCTGTCTCCTTTTGTCTCGTTATCTGTCTCCTTTTGTCTCTTTATCTGTCTCCTTTTGTCTCCTTTTGTCTCTTGTCTCCTTTTGTCTCTGTATCTGTCCCCTTTTGTCTCTTTATCTGTCTCCTTTTGTCTCTTTGTCTTTCTCCTTTTGTCTCTTTATCTGTCTTCTCGTGTTCCTTTATCTGTCTCCTTCTATTCCTTTATCTGTCTCCTTTTATCTCTCTATCTGTCTCCTTTTGTCCGTTTGCCTGTCTCCTTCTCTCTCTTTATCTGTCTCCTTCTGTATCTTTATTTGTCTGTCTCTCTTCGTCGCTTGCTCCGTTTCTTTTTGTCTCCTTTTGTCTCTTTATTTATCTGTCTCCTTTTACCTCTCTATTTATCTGCCTCCTATTCTTTATTTGTTTATCTGTTTTTTATCTGTCTCCTTTTCTCTCTCTCTATTTTTTTGTCTTTTTTCGTCTCGCTATCTGTCTCCTTCTGTCTCCTTGTTTACCTGTCTCCTTCTGTCTTTTTTTATCTGTCTCCTCTTAACTCTTTCTTTATCTGTCTCCTTTTGTCTTTATTCATCTGTCTCCTCTTAACTCTTTCTTTATGTCTCCTTTTGTCTTTATTTATCTGTCTCCTCTTAACTCTTTCTTTATCTGTCTCTTTTTGTCTCTCTATTTATCTGTCTCCTTTTGTCTCTTTATTTATCTGTCTCCTCTTAACTCTTTCTTTATCTGTCTCCTTTTGTCTTCTATCTGTTTGTTGATTTATTCCTAATTTAGGGTAAATATCAAATTGTTTAAAGAGACACCAAAAGGAGACAGTTGCTGCGCCTCTCCCTCACTCGCACCAACACCTTGCCTTCTATTTCTTTTTGCACTCGCGGTTTAGGGTTTAGTTAGGGTTTACTAATAAATGCTTAGGGTTTAGGGTTTATTAATAAATGCTTAGGGTTTAGGGTTTACGATTTGATGGTAAGGGTTTAGAGACAGTTTGAGGTGTCTGCTGTTTAAGGTTTGTGGTTTTGTTACTTGAGTCGCAGTACGCCGTTCATTGTTCGGTGTTACAAGTTTAGGGTTTAGGGTTTAGGGTTATGGGCTAGGGTTTAGGGTTTTGGGCTAGGGTTTAGGGTTTGGTTTTAGCGGCTAGGGTTTAGGGTTTGGTTTTAGCGGCTAGGGTTTAGGGTTTAGGCTTGGGGTTATGGGCTAGGGTTTAGGGTTTTGCGTTTAGTATAAGAAAAGGCTAGGGTTTAGGGTTTGAGTTGGTGGTTCGCTGCTGCTCAATTGCTTCTTTTTTGTTTTTGTTTGTTTTGAAATTGTTGTTTGCTGCTGCATTTTCTTTTACATGTTTGCTGCATAACTGCGCAATATCTGCTGGGGAGTACAGACAACTGAGCCTCAAGTAGGGGCTTCGCAGCAGCAGCAGCAGCAGCAGCAGCAGCAGCAGGTAGAGCCGCTGAGGGAGACAACAGCAGCAACTCTGGGGGGGAGTTGCTGCTGTTGTCTCCCTCAGCGGCTCTACAGTCCAGGTGCTTTTTCTGTCTCCTCAGCAGCTCAGTTCCTTATCTGCAGCAGCATCACAAACAGCAGTAGCAGCACAAACAGCAGCAGAATATGCAGCAGCAGCACAGACAGCAGCAGCAGCACATACAGCATCGGCGCAGATAGCAGCAGCCGCGTATACAGCATCAGCACAGTTAGCAGCAGCAGCATATACAGCAGCAGCCCAGACAGCTGCAGCAGCAGAGACGCAGCAGCAGCATATACAACAGCAGCCCCGATAGAAGCAGAAGCAGTTGCAGTAGCAGCAGAGACGCAGCAGCAGAGATACCAGTGGCAGCAGCTACATCAGCCGCACCACAGACAGCAGCAGCACCATCGACAGCAGCAACAGCAGCAGCAACAGCAAGCAGCAGCAGCAGGAGGTGCAGCAAGCCCAGTTGAAAGGTATTCTCTGTGTGTTTCTTGCTGCAAATGATATAACTTTTTCTTACATTCATTTTGCATGTTTGGGGCTGCACATTTAAGTAGAGCAACGCGAGCTCCTGCTCTGCGTCAATAGAAACAGCAGAAGCCCCGACAGCACCTGAGCATGCAGCAAAGTCTCCGCAGCTGTCTACGCAGCCGTTGTCTGTCTTTTTATACTCTAACTCCTGCGAAGCGTAGCAGCGGAAGCTCCAGTTGCCGTTCATCTCATCGTAAGTAAATCGCGCAACAGCAGGCTGACAGTGTCTTGTATTTCCTAGTTTGCATGATGCTGCATGCTGCTTTAAGCACTCTGCATCCAGTATCAGCTGCAGCGCGCTTGAAGCAGCAACTGAAGACAGCTGCAGCAAAAGAAACAACAAATTACAATACACCCACGCAACTCCTGCTGCTAATCGGGCCGTTGCAGATGCTGCTGCTTCTGCTGCTGCAGTCGAATGATGCTGATGCAGTTAATGCTGAAGCTGCACACAATCTGAAGAAGCAGGTGCTGTTGCTTCGCTCCAGGCACGTCAGGATCAGCAGCAGTACGGCAGCACAACAGCAGCAGCACAGCAGCAGCTGCTGCTGCCTGCCTGTTGTACGTACCCGTTCGTAGTAGGCTCTGCAGTATGTATCTTTGTTGTTTGATAAGGCTGTTCGGAGTTCTTTATCTTTGTTAATGGCTAGGGAAGGGCTTGATGTAGGTACACCTCTACAATTTGCTTTAACGCCGCAATTGTTGACGCAGTGCTTCCCTACATTTCGTTTCTGAATGTCCATTCCAGAAAAACACCACCAAGTATCTTGAGAGGTTTCTCCCTGAATTATTCGCGCATACTCCATAGGATTGATGCAGTGTTCAAATTCCCCTTCGTTGCAGAGTTCTGCACTGATATTTGCACATTCTTGGTCTAGCTGGCTCTGGAGAGTTTGAGACTGAAAGGAAACAGAAGGAAAAGAGTATTCATTCAAACAGTAAAAGAGAGAAGAAGACAGGAGGAAAGCAAACACATTCAAACCGCAAGAAACAACAACATACAACAAGCGTTCAAATGCAGCTGTTCAACCTGCACATTCCCAGACAGGAAACATCTCAATTCTTCTGCCTTCTGCTCAGATCAGAAGTGGAAGGGAACTAAAATGCTTTTTATTTGAATTTCGTCTTTAATAAACCAAAATTTGAGGCGAAACGACGAAAGTCTTCAGCCATTCGAGAAGAATACTCACACCGGCGGTCTCGGCAGGAGCTGAAACGCAAGCAAGCGGCACACCGCAAAAGAAAGAGGGAATTTGCTCAACTTTCATCTTTTTAGTATTTATAATATCCTTTGTAAAGGAATATACTCACAAAAATAAAATCCGATCATGAGAAATAAGAGGATCGCGACGGTCCTGCGGAGCCACGCCATAGTACACGCGGGTGTCGGCCTCAACTTTGCTGTATTCATTGCAGCAGCTACATAGCAGTAATAAACTTCTTCACACGGCCAAGGAAAAGGCAAAAATGAAAAGAAAAATATAGAAAAAAAACAGTAACAAGCACAGCAGAAGTCGGCGGTGGTGCGGCTCCGGGCCTCCAGCTACACCGCAACGGTTGAAACGTAGCTGCATGCGGATTTCTCTGTTTTTCTCTTTCTTCTAAAAGAACTTTATATGAAGCATTTTATTTAAATTCATTTCTTTTGTTCTGGAGCAAATTCGTGCAGAAGCAGAGGGGCTACGCCTGCATGCATCTATTGAATCGACGTTTCATCGCTTTCTTTTCATCCGTTAAGTTGTTACTGCAATACATTTAAAATACAGAATTTTGATGAGTTTCACAAGTACATTAATTCACTTGTATGAATTTGTTTGTGTATAGAGGTGCTTCGCTGCATTCTAGTCCTTGTTTTCTACTGCAATACTGCAATACAAAACTAACTGAGTTTTTGTTTTAACTGTATTGCCTGATCTTGGTTTATATAGGAGCTGTTTGGCTTCCTTCTAAGCATAGAACAACTCCATAGAGAAGCTTGATAACTTATCCTTCTCTTTATTACTTTAAATTCATAGAAAGGCCCTTCTACATATGACGCACCCCTCTCTTCTTTATTATTTTAACGAGCTACTGTATAAGGAGGCACTTCTTAATACTACGAATTCTCCTCTCTATTACTCTAGCTATCCTTATAAGGAGGCCATTCTTTATACAGCTGGGGCATCTATGCTTTAGCTTCATCAATGCAGATTAAACAATACATACACTCTGCTGCTGAGTGGTTAGGAGGAAGCCTCTATCTCTATCATATGGTGTATATCAACAAACAAACCCTATTAAAGGAATAAGGCATTATTTCTGTGCCTTGAGTGCTCTGCTTTCTTCTTTCTTCTCTCTTCTTTCTTACTCTCTGTCTGCAACCCCTTTACAGCCGTCATTACATTTCCATATACACCCGAGCAATATCATATTAGCCTTGCTGTAGGGGTTGAGGTGTCTGTTTATATAGCTAGCTACTGCTTTGCAACTGGCTACTGCTAGATACAGCTAGCTAGATACAGATAGCTAGATATGGATAGCTAGCGATAGCAAAATTTCTGTATCTAGCTAGCTGTATCTATATGCAGCTGGCTAGCTACACCTAGCCACTGCATTGCAACTAGCTACAGCTAGCGACCGGCAGCTAGTCACCGCTAGCTAAGTGAAACTAGTGGCTAGCTAGCTACAGCTAGCTACAGCTAGCTACACGAAAATGAAGCTGCATCCCAGTAATATACTTGTGAAGGATCTTCTCTCCTCTATCTGTCTCTCTGTTTATTGCTGCTGCAGCACAAAGGCACCGGGCTTGCTGGCTGGGGTGTCTCCTTGAATTCTCAACTGTCTGCAGAGACAGCAGATACACCTGACGAAGCCTGCTTTGACGCAAAGGAGACAAGAAAGGGTCCTCTGTACAAACGTCAGGAAGGGGGCTTCGACTGTCGCTGCCCCTGAGGTGTATGTACACCTCAGCCATCCATGCATGCATGCACAGAGAAGGTAGACATCATTGTTGTTTTGTTTGAACTCTGGGAGTTTACGCGGTGATAAGGAGACAGTTTCGATGGAGAGCCATTGGCTAGCTGTAGCTAGCTGTAGCTAGCTGCAGCTAGCTGGGCGCTAGAGGCGCCTCACTGTGTGTAGCTAGCTGCAGCAAGCAGCTGTCTCCTCTCCAGAAGTGTCTCCAGAAACATCAGAGACTGCCGCTTGACGAAAAAGAGACAAAGGAAGAACATGCTGCAGCTCCTGTTGTTGCTGCCGCCGCCGCCGCCGCTGCTGCTGCTGCTGCTGCTGCTGCTGCTGCTGCTGCTGCTGCAACTTCTCCCCCTAATACATCTAAAGTTCAGTTGTGGCCTCTCAACTTCACCGCAACACCGCCAAAGGAGAAGGAGGCCGCTGTGCCTCTCTGCGGTGTATGTACACCTCGGCATTGCAGCAGCAGCAGCAGCAGCAGGAGCGGCAGCAGCAGCAGCAGCAGCAGCTGCCACAGCAGACCTGCTGCATCTATCCCCCCTGTTTGAGTTGTACGTACACCTCAGATAGGAGAGACAGCCAGATGGTTTTTCATGTATTTTCCTGCATCAATACACCGCACATAAACCTTTTTAATTCAACACGGTTTGTCTCTTCTTTGTCAGAGCGCTACTTCTTCTTTTTAAGTCTCTGTCTCCTTTCTGATTGTCTGTTGCTTTATGTATATTTGTTTCTCCCGGCTATATGTCTCTCCTTTAATGTGAAAGTATATTACTAATGAGTTGTTATTTATCTACTGTTAATATATTTATTTGTTTGTTTTGTTATTGTTGTTTGTCTTTTTTCTGCTTTATGCTGGTTTGTGCTGCAGTGTTGAGTTGGGGTGTATATGCAGGTCGCCGCATGCACCAACATATTTTCTTTGTTTGTTTGTTCTAAGACTTTATTGCTATCTATTCTCTCTTGATTGCCTCTAGCCACCAGCCGTAGCGATACAAGCAGCAGCAGCAGCAACGATAGAAGCAGCAGCTGGAGCACCAGTAGCAGCAGCACAGAAGCAGCAGCAGCGGC